AATCCACACACCTCAGCCTCCCAAAGGCGCGGGATTACAGGCTGAGTCACCGAGCCCGGCCAGTACACATTTTTAATGAAGACTCTCAGCAAAGTATGAATAGAAAGGACTTTCTCAATCTAATAAATGACATCTATGAAAAATCTCTAGCAATATCTATAGCTAACATAATGGTAAAAGATTGTATGCTTTTCCCCTAATACCAGGGAAGTTACAAGGATGTCTATTCTTACCACTCCTGTTCAACACAGTAATAGAGGTTCTAGTTTGTACAATAAATCAGCAGGGGTAAGGGGAAGAGGGCATTCAGATTGGAAAGGCTAAAGTAAAACTGTATTTTTAAAAATATGGCCGTCTATGTAGAAAATTTAATGAAATATACAAAAAGTTATTGGAACTCATAAGAAAATTTAGCAAGTTTGTAAGATACAATGTCAATATGCAAAAAATGAATATTGTTTCTACATGTTAGTAAAGAACAGTTTAAAATTGAAATAAAAATGTCCTTTACAATAGTATCAAAGTATGAAACACAAAGGGATAAGTCTATCGTAATATGTTAAACTAAACACTGAAAACTACAAAACATTGCTAAGTGATATATCTTATTTATGGGCAAGAAGACTCGATAATATTAAGATGCTCATTATTTTCCCTGTTGATTTATAGACTCAATGCAATCCCAATAAAATTTCAGCAGCCTTTTTTAAAAATTAAAAATTGGCAAACTGATTCTATGGAAAGGATTTAAAACAGCCAAAAACAGCTTTAAAAAAGATAATCCCGCGCCTTTGGGAGGGTGAGGTGAGTGGATTGCCTGAGCCCGTGGGTTCGAGACCTGCCTGGGCAGGCGAGACCTCATCTCTACAATAAAATCAAAAAATTGCTGGGCATGGTAGCACGTGCCTGTAATTCCAGCTACTCGGAAGGCTGAGTCGGAAGGATCGCCGGAGCCCAGCAGGTCGAGGCAGCGGTGGCCGGGAGCAGCCACTGCACTCCAGTCTGGGCGACAGAGTGAGACTCCAACTCAAAAACAAAAAAAAAGAACAAAGGTGGGGGACTATTACTTCCTAATTTCAAAACTTACTGTAACACTATAGTAATCATGACAGTGTAGTGTTAGTATAAAGCTAGATATAGAGGCCAATAAATTAGAATAAAGACTGACATCATATATATATCATATAGGTACAACTGATTTCTAACAGATGTGCAAAGGCAATTCAGTGGAGAAAAGATAGGTTTGGATTTTTTTTTTTCTCCAACAAATGGTATTAGAATAATTGGTCAACCATATGCAACTAAATGAACTTTGATCCATTCCTCATACCATCCTGAAAGATTAAATCAAAATAATTTATGGACCTAAATATAAAGCCTAGGTTTTTCTCCTTTTAGAGGAGAAAATATGAAAAACCTTTTGTGACACTGTGTTAAACAAAGATTTTTTTTAGATAAGGTATCAGCATATGACCCATACAAGAATTAATTGATAAATTGGAATTGATCAAAATTAAAAGCTTTTTCTCATTAAAATATAATGCTAAGATAATGAAAACACACTTTTTACAGTGGGGGAAACACTTTACACTGTATGTCTAATAAAGAACTTGTATCCACAATATGTAAAGCTCTCTCAAAACTTAAAGAAACCCAATTAACAGGCAAAAGATTTAAACAGGTACTAACTACATTTTGAAAAAAGATATATGCATAGCAAATAAGAGCATGAAAAGGTGTTCAACATCACTAGTCATCAGAGAAATACAAATTAAAACCACAAGCAGATACCATTTTACAATTTTTAGAATGGCTAAAATAAAAGAAGCTGCCCATGCCAAGTGTTTTCAAGGCTGGGGAGAAACTGAAACTCATACATTGCTGTGGAAATGGAAACTGGCACAACCAGTTTGGAAGATAGTTTGTTTTTTCTTTAAAAGTTTAACATCACAAATCATATGGTCCGATCATTCTATTGCTAGATATTTACTCAAAATAAATGACAGCAGATGTCCATACAAAGACTTGTACACACATGTTTGTAACTTTGTTTATAATAGGCTGAAACTGGAAACATCAACAGGTGAATGGATAAAGAAATTATAGTGGTTAGTAAACAATAGAACACAACTCAGCAATAAAAAGGAATGAACTGTTGATTCATGCTACAACATGGATGAATCTCAAGAATAGTTATATGAGTGAAGGAAGCCAGACTAAAAGAAGTATTTTCTGTATGATTTTACTTATATTAAATTCTAGAAAATTGAAACTAATGTATAGTGACAGAAAGCTGATGAGTAGTTCCTTTAGAATTGGGAGAGGGATTGTAGAAAGAAGAACAGATTTACAGTGGAGAAGACGGGAACTTTGGGGGTGACAAATGTGTTCATATTTAGGCTGTAGTAATGATCTCACAGGTGTGAATGTTACGCTTTCAAGCAGTACACTTATTCAGTTTATTGTATGTGAATGCATATGTCTATAAAGCTGCCTAAAAACAGAATAATTTAAGAACTAAATAAAATTCTTTAGATTCTTCTTTTCTTGATGCAGTTGGCTTTCTGTTAGGGATGTTTGAAATTAGCTGGGCGTGGTGGTATGCTTCTGTAGTCCTAGCTACTCGGGAGATTGAGGCAGGAGGATCGCTTGAACCCAGGAGGTTGAGACTGCAGTGAGCTATGATTGCACCACTGAACTCCAACCTGGGCGAGAGACCGAGACCTAAACTCAAAAAACAAAAAAAAAGTTTGAAATTTGAACACTTTTATCTAGTCTCACAGAGTGTTCTCTTCTCATTTTGGCAGAATGAAGATCTGACTCTTTTAATTAAGGAAATAGAGCAGGGACACAGCGACCTGGAGAAGGTGCAAAACCTTTATTCTGAGTCCTTGATCATGGACTGGTGGTACAATGGAGAAAAGGAAGGAGACAAGTGAGTGTACCCAACCGCTGGCTTCCCCGTCGCTGGGTCCTGTCAGATGCTCTGCTTGCCCTCCTAATTCTTCTCCTCTCTGAAATGCTTCATGAGACTTCTTTGAGTGAAAAGAATCACATAGATCAGGTTTGGTGGCTCAAGCCTATAATCCCAGTCCTTTGGGAGGCAGAGGCGAGAGGATTGCCTGAGCTCAGGAGTTTGAGACCAGCCTGAGCAACATGGAGAGACCTTGTCTCTACAATAAATAAAAAAAACTAGCTGGGTATGGTGGCACATGCCTCTGGTTCCAGCGACCTGGAAGACTGAGGTAGAAGGATCACCTGAGCCCAGCAGGTCGAGGTTGCGGTGGCTGTGAGCAGTGTGCCTCTGCACTCCAGTCAGGGTGATAGAGTGAGACCCTGACTCAAAAACAAAAAACAAAAAACAAATCACATAGCATAAGTTAGATTTTTTTTTTATAAAGCAAACTGTATTCATAATTTAATAGCAATGGGCTTGAGAGGCCACATATTCACCTTTATAATCTCCCCCCAATGTGGACAGCTCCCTTGACCCCAGGCCCTAGCAGTAACAGGGGAGAGAGGAGTGCTGTGTGGTAGAGATTTGACTCAGCGACCAGGAGGCCTGGGGTCTGGACTTCAACCTGTGTGACCTTAGCAAGTTCCTTAATTTCTCTCCACCCCTCTCTGTTGCTGTGGGACTCCGTTTCCTCTTCTTTAAAATGGTGGCCATGGCAGTGGGGTTTGGGCTGTTGATTTCTCAGGTCTGTCTTCACCCTAAATTCTACTAGGTTTCTAATTAGTAGTTTTTAAGCAAAAATCAAAACCATTCCAACACTTAAATCATTATTCAAATGATTTAACATTGTACAGATATTCAAGTGTCACACCCTACCCTGCTAGGGGGGATTTTTTTTTAACTTAAAAGCGTGATAACAAAGTAGGAAGAAAAAAAAAAGAAAATACATTTATTCACAGAATTTCTTATTCATCAAAATTAGCAAATTAAGTATTAATACTGGGTGGGGTCAGGGGATGATTGTGGAATCAGTAAAAAAGATAAATATTATAATGGCTATCTTATAATGATATTTTATAGCATTATTTTGTAAGTATTTGGGAAAGCACAGATATGCCTTCTAAACTCAGAAAATTTGAATAAATGCACTAAGAATCAAATAAATGAGCAGCTCTTAAATGTAAATTACCTTCTCTGTATTTTCAGCCAGTAACTTAACTGTCTTCTTTTCTATGTTGAATCAAATTTTAAAATCTCAGGACTGGCTGGGCATGGTAGCTCAAACCTGTAATCCCAGCACTTTGCAAGGTTGAGGCAGGTGGATTGCTGGACCCCAGGTGTTCCAGACCAGCCTGGGCAACATAGTGTTGCCTCATCTCTACAAAAAAAAAAAAAAATTAACCAGGCATGCTGGCATGCGCCTGTAGCCCCAGCTACTGAGAAAGCTGAGGTGTAAGGATCCCCTGAGCCCAGGAGGTCAAGGGTGCAGTGAGCCGGAATCATGCCACTGAACTTTAGCATAGGTGACTAAGTGAGGCTCTGACTCAGATAGATAGATAGATAGATACATACATACATAGATAGATAGATAGATAGATAGATAGATAGATAGATAGATAGATAGATAGATAGAAAGATAGACAGACAGATAGATAGATAGATCAAGCCACTGAACTTTAGCTTGGGCGACTGAGTGAGGCTCTGACTCAATAGATAGATAGATACATAGATACATAGATAGATAGATACATAGATACATAGGTAGATAGATATATAGATACATAGACAGATGATAGATAGATAAAATCTCAGGATAAAATGACCAGCAGTTGCTTGAAAGTTGGATTAGCTAGTCGACTGTTCCTGCTATTTAAGTAGTGAATGTACTCTATAGACACACACACACACACACACACACACACACACACACACACACACACACACACACCTTTCTTGGGGGCCAAAAGGAGAAGATTCTGTAGTTAGAGAAACGTTTTAATATTCCAACTGTTACATGCTAGGTTACTTTGGACAAGTTGCTTAACCTCACACAGTCTCAGTTTCCTTATCTTTAATATGAAAATGATAGTCATAAGATTGAGTGGATTAAACGAGGGTAGCCTGGCACATCATAAGAGCTCAGAATTAATATAAAGGAAACAGTAAAAGACAGCACCTCATTCTACAGATATCATGTTTCTATATTTCCTTATAACATAACAACATTGAGGAAACTTAATTCTCTCACTTATGTCGACTATGGTCAACAATAAAACTGTCTTTTTCTAGTTTTCCTTCAGATGAAAAAAAAAGTTACAGCCCCCGTGTCTCTTTTCAAACATTTATTGAGTACGAGTCATATGCCAGGAGAACAGGGGTGTGCAAATGAATGTAAGCCAGTTCTTTTTTCTGTGGGATGCATGGTATGGACGAGGTCACATGCAGGTTATGGACGTGGGGCAAGTGCTCCTGGAGGTACTGGGGGGAGGGGCTGGTGGAGGAGTGAAGGAGGAGGGCACACTATACAGTGTTGGAGCGGGAGATGGTTCTAGAAACTTTCCTTTCAATGACTGCTATGTTCAGAACTCCAGAGAAGGTAATGTCTGGGGAAATACTCAAGCGTTTCTGGTCCTATATTGTCTCCAGAATGGTTTCCCATGATCCTGTGGTGGAATAGGAGGTCCAGGGCAGAAATTCCTCTCTCTGGCCTTTACAAGAGGTTGCTGGTTGACATTTTGGTTAGAAAAATGGGTTTTTGTACTGCTACATGTTTACAACCAGCTCTCCCTCATATTAATCCTCACATCAGCCCCGGAGAGTCAGTGTCCAGGTGAAGTTTCCTGCAGTTTGTAGATGAGGAAAGTAAAGAAGTTTAGAGAGGACTGGGTGACTTCAGTGAGGTCACACAGCTGGGAAAGACCAACCTCTGATGTAAGCCATATCTTCTGGCTCCGGGACTGGGCCCTGTGGCAGGGATAAATGACTATTTTTATATAAATCCAAATGGGGGAAAACTCACTTCTTTAAGTTTGCAGTGTTCAGCATGAATGTATCGATTTAACTCTGCCTTCCTGACAGAAATTTTCTCCCCTACTTTTTTGCTCTTTTTTTGGGTCAACTTTTTATCTATATCAAAACAGGCATCAAAAGGAAATCTGTTCTATGGTTTCAACCCCAGAAAAATGTGCAAAAGCTCAAGTTGATGTTGAGTCAATGAGAACCTCACCTCTGAATATGTTGAAAGGATCATGGGGCCTTTCAGATCAAAAGATTCAGAAGAAGAAAGTCCTCCACGCAGGTATCAGTGAACAAAATGGCTTAACTTTTTACTGATCTTTCTTCAGTGCAAGAAGAGAGAATAAAACTAAACCCACACAGTATTTTTTAGAAAGTCCTAAACCTGTGGGTTTTTTTTTTTTTTTTATTTTGAGTTGGAGTCTCACTCGGTCGCCCAGACTGGAGTGCAGTGGCCGC